AGATGTGGACTTGACATTATTGTTGTGATTGTAGTACTTTTAGGTCTTTCTATTTGGCTTTTTTATTTGAGTGGATCCAGTATTTCTTCCTTGAATATTGTCTAATCACCCTTAAGATACGTGGCCTGCTGTTTAAACGGGTCCTTTGACAGCTTATTTGTGACATGCAGGCTTCATAAACTTCTAATTTCTATTCATCAGATGAAAACTTTAGTATCGCATAATTGCAGACATTGTATCGTAAAAAATAGAATAGAACGACCGTTTGCGTAACATTTGCATAAAACGCTTGAATCATTTCATGTTAATGCAGACAACATTTACAAATATTTGCAACACTGTTTCTGATAAAAGTAGTTAACACACTGCTTTATCTTATTAAAGATAACAAACTTGTTATCCCTGGCAAGCAAACTGAAATATCATGCTACATATTATAGCATTAACACACTGGTGAAAAATTTACTGTCGTTGACCATTATTAAAACATAGGTCATCAACCTTTGCTTCTTATAAGAGGCCAAATAGTTTGAACTGTTATACAAATCTTTATGAAAAACAAACACTCAAATTAATGACATGTTAGTCATTTCCTCTTTCTTATCAATTGTCCTGTAGAGATATCTATATTATAATCAGTCAATACATAAACATTGTTGATTCGATTCCTCATATAGCGCCTTAGGGTGTCCTTAAAGTCCAAAATCATATTTCCTCAATTCCCTCTTCTTAAGACATTGAGTACCTGTTTAAAACAAAGCAAACATTATATAAATTTCACACCCACTGAGAGGTAGAAAACGACATTATTCTCCCGAGACGAGTGATCATTTTTTTTCATTTTATACCGAAAAATTATGTAAGATCTGTTTTCTGTTTGGTAATGTTAGAGGGCCGAAACGTGATGTAATGTTATGCATTGTTACCCTGTGACGTCACATTAAGTGATATAGTAAATAGATCACAAAGGGTATAATATACTTATATGAATTTAAAACATTAAACAGAGTAGCAAATAATATGTGGTATATGAAATGCCTGAACAAAGATCAGAATTTACAGATTTGATATTTACATATTACAATGTACACAATTATTATGTTCGGGAAAAAAATATGTTCGGGGAGGCATTCATGAATGCCGCCCTTCCTTGTTGATCTTGTTTTTTTTATATTTTACGCATTACAAACAGAGTCCTATCTTATATGTATTTCAAATCTAATGAATATCCATTATGCTCAGAGTTTTATTGTTTTAGAGTAAATATGTATGTCATAAAAATATGACAGATACCATGGCATTTATATTGGCAAATGTTTACATAGTAAGTACATTTGCATGTTTTCCTTTCAAAAGTTATTTTACATAATCCATTAAAGATTGTTACAAAATGTTTGGTTTGATTTATGCAAGCTTTAATGCTATTACTACTTGTTTCGTTGTTGTTTTCTTTTCATTTGAAATGATAATAATAGAGCGTCAATGACAGCAGAAATCGTATCAGTCAATTTAATTCTTCTGTTCTTGAGATTGGTTTTGTATGTATTCTTTCTCTAACAATTCACAAAGCTATCGTAGTCAATCAATCTAATAAACCTTAACGAAATATGCATGGATCAAGATGGAAACTTATAAGGCTTGTTGTTCTTTGATAATAACTAAACAAGTAATTACTGATGCAAGGAATTGTTAGAAATAGAGTTGGTAAATGAAATCATATAAAAGATAGCAAGACACTCATTGATTATGTAGTTTAATTTTAAAGTATTGAAACGTTGACAGAAGAGGATGATGATCTAGCTATAGGCAGTATAACGCAGATTTGATGTTATGGTATAAAAATTTGAAAATAAATCAAAACTGGTCACATCGATATCTTAACTTAAAATAGGTGAAAAACGTTGTATGATGAGGTATCAGAATTACAGCCACCGTTAAGCCCTGCGTGATCGTAAGAGGCGACTTAATTGGTTCAAATTACTGAGCTCTATACATATCTTAGCTCCAGCAGATTGGGTGATTTTGAGCCCTGGTATTGCTTTAAGTTTGTAACACTCAAAGTTAGCCAAAATAATCTTTCATGTCGTTCACCGTAAAACCAAACAAAATAAAAGAATGAATAAATACAAGTACACAAGTCCATTTATTTAATGCATTATTGTATTTTGTTCATTAAGACTATGCATTTTTGCTTTGTGTGGTTCCAATAGAAATAAACAACCTTTATATAAACTGCATACTTATTAGCAGATGTTAATTTTAAATGACTAACAAACAGCATATGTGTATAAACAAAACTTGATTAAAATATATAATATAATAATTAAATTCCAAAAAGAAAAGCAATTGTCATAACATCGATGTGATTCATAAAACATTCCGTCCTAACCGTTTGATAATATCTTAACAATATTGCCCTTAAATTGCAAATAAAATGAATCTTTTAACCTCTTTTTTCAACCTCATCACAAATCTATTAACAACTTAATGCGACATAAATCACCAGACCCCGGGACATTTCACAAATTAGACTGATAAAACTGTTTTAACAATGTAATAGGTTTACCTGTGACAGACATCCAAGTTGATAATGTAGACGGGAACCACATAGTTTGTACTGCTAAAAGATGTAAAATATTTAACTTGCTATCACATTTCTCACATAAATCATGTTGATATGTGAGCCGCCTCACGACAAAACCAACATAATGGGTTTGCGACCAGCATGGATCCAGACCAGCCTGCGCATCCGCGCAGTCTGATCAGGATCCATGCTGTTCGCTTACAAACCCTATAACAAGAAAAGAAACTGAAAGCGAACAGCATGGATCCTGATCAGACTGCGCGGATGCGCAGGCTGGTCTGGATCCATGCTGGTCGCAAACCCATTATGTTGGTTTTGTCTTGACACGGCTCATGTAAAGTATATTTCGTATATAAAGCGTGTCACATACTTTAAACAGGTACCAATCATTCTACTGACCCAGTAAAAATCTCTGCCATTGATTGCAATACATGCCAAGTAATGTTTTAGTATGTTGATTAGAAGGACATCAAAATGGTTTATGAAATATCATCTGAAAAAGCTATGGTTGCATTCATAAGATTTGTGTCCTCTCTCATTGATTTTTTTAGATTTTGATTATTGCATCTTTTCCCGTCTTGCTGTCACTTTATATCAAACTTGAAATATTAAAAAAAAGAAACTTAAGAAAGAAGAAAAAGGAAGAAACAACTCTTACATAAAACCTTCAATTGGTGCTTTCATTTTCAAATTTAGACTTAAAATGATCAACCAAAGTTTAGTAATATTAAATTCCAAAGCAAGTTTTGAAAAAAAAATGAAATGTTTAACTTATCAAACAATTCATTTGTATCTGTCTGTATGGACCAATACTTGCATTTGCCATTCATTTATCAGGAATATTTACTGTTAATAAATAATTTTAGAAAATATTAATAAATATAAACTCATTACTGAAATAAAATACAAAATTTTACTTATAAAAATGACCAGCAGTTAGTAAAACATATAGTAGAAACTAGTGCAATTTCAAAATATAACATTTGTGTACATTTTAAGCAACCACTGTCATAAAACGAAAGACACCGTAAACTGATATGACCTTACAGAAGTTAAAGACAAGTTTATGTCTTACGTAAACATGGCTCGTTTGTTATTTTTTGGTGTATTTTACTACTCTTAATATTAAAAACTATCCCCTTTATATAATATTCTGATTGTCTTTAATAGCAGTTTTATCTATCCAATATGTTTTGAAAATAAGTTCATGACCTTGATATATGAAGTGCAAAAATACCGTTTCATCTTTACATTTTTAAGTGCAGTGTTACAAAATTGATCAGATCATATTTCAAATAGATTTGAGGAGGTTTTATTATAAGTTTATTTTGCTAACTTAACATAAAGTAATTTCCTTTGTAGACAGAGTGTGAGTCATCGGCTATATTTGCAAATTATTATATCTGGGCTGATATTTATATGACATGCGACAAGAAAACTAGGACAGAATTACAATGTATGGTAATAATTGTTTTGGTTTTATACCATAATCTGCTTTATAATGAAAGGAGTCACAATTATGAGGGAACAAACAATATTAAAGAAATCAAGGAAATGATTGATTATGTTGACAATGCGTAATTCGCTTATGGAACTTAGAATTGAGCATTTATCATTGAGCAAAGATAGATTATCATTCACTACGTTACGACCCCAATTTTCAAACATTTGGTAGATCAAACCGTAACTAAAATATGACAGACTCGCAGATACAAACTTAACCAAATGTACAAACCAATTTGCATAGAATTCAACTTTAGAATAAATTTAAAATTCCCATCTTGTGAAAGCGTATTTCTAATGAACGTTCCATTAATCTGGAATCATTTATAGATTTTTAACAAGCATGTTATTAAGTATTTATAAAGTAATGAAATCAAATCGATGGCTAATAGCAATTACAGGTTATATTTGATTTTATATGATTTTAAAAACACTGAATGTAAGAATTTTAAAACAAGTTTTAAGGCTTCTAGATTTTAAGACGTACAAATAAGCATACAATTTTACATGTTCACAATGTAAGGATAAATAAAGCGTGATTTACTTTGTTCTCAGTTTATTTATAAAAAATAAACGAAAGCCTCTGTTAAAACTGCAATACAACTGCATACGTAAAGGTTAACAAATAGCATCTCTTGTGTAACAAATTGATGATGATGTTACACGTAGAGTTGTTAACCCTTATATTTTTTTATTTAACGCTTTTTGTCGGGAAACTAATAATTTGTGTATATATCAATTACTAGCGGTTTAATTTAAATGAAACGAGTTTTTTTTTTTTTTTTTACAAAATTTGAAATCAGTTTAGCTTTGCATTGAACACTGAATAAATATGAAAATTGTCATATTTCAGGTTTTATTATATCATCAGATATCGGTTATATATCGTTCGACTTGAATGTATGTTTATTAGATACTACTGGTAAATACGCGACTAGGGACTCTTGCTAGTGTTGTAGATAGTCAATGATATCGGGGTATGCGCAGTGAAGTTTGATTTTCATTCATAGGAAGATTTTTCCGCAACATTAAACAGTGTAGTGTAGGGTTTATGAATGAGCTAATATTAATACGTACATCTACTATATAAACGTAGAGTTTAAAAGTTGTATACAGACACTGGGAATATTGACTAATGTGCAAATAGACAAACTGCAGGCCGTGGTTTAAATACAGCTGATATTTTATGTGATATGAAATATTCGGTGAAAGTTTTAACGGGAATATTGACTTTAATATCAGCAGTAAATTGAAACAAAAATGTGCTTTTAGGAAAAATTATATTATGTAAAATAGTTTTGTGGATTTATTTTATTGTGATTTTATTAACACACGTTTGTTTGTAGTTATTGGAATAATAATATTTAAAAATGAAGAGGTTATCATTTTTAAGGATTTTTATCATTATTTGTTGTTCATCGTTTATAGAAACTGCAAGGGATATAAACAGAGGTAAATTTGTTATTTATTTATTCATTATATGAAATTTATAAACACATTTCTAAGTTTGCATGTAAAATCTAGTAAAAATTGGACGAACCTCTAATCTTGACTGATTACTTTTATCACATTTAGATGGTTTATTTTTTTATGACATTGCATGTATATATTAAACTAATTCCATTCATAAACAAAAAACATCAATCTACACGCTTAGAGTACCTTTGTTTTTGCTTTTTACATTTGCATCAATGTTTGTGAATATTCTAACGTTTAATGTCAAGTTGCACAAGGTTTGATGAGCGTTTCGTATATCACATTTGTTTAGATGGCTCTAAGAATTGCATTGTTATTCTTATCAAATTTAAGATACTCAAACATACAATCTCCGTAGCAATTATATTGCAACTGAAAATTGTAATATTCTTTTAAATAAAAAAGAAAGTATACTGTGATACTAGATCGTTGCACTATTGATATAACTAAATATCTCTGTAATAATGATAAGATGTGTTATAACTGGTGAAATTCCAAGTAAGCTGTAGACTAAATGAGTCATTTGATTAATTTTCTCATGCATTGCAATTCTTTGTTTTGTTTTGGCATCGCACACATTATATGTATAATAATATAAATAATGGGAAACAGTTCAAAACCGTGGATAAATTTGTACATTTTACTGTTTAAAAGGGCTCAACTGAGGTGTTTTGAACAAAACGAGACAGGAATAATTTTTCGAGATTAATATTTCATTTGATGTACTTCTTAACCAATATCTTGTGTGCAAAATTTTTGATCATTTTTTCACTCCATTTTTCCAGATTAATTATTCTACTCGTGATAATGTCTAAATATTAAACATGGTTGCAACACTTTTCATTTGAACCGAGCTAAGAATAGACAAAATACGATATTCAATTTATTTTGAGTATATTTCTTATTATCCGTTTTTATATCTAACTGTTTTAAGTGCCCAAGCAGATTTTCACATTTTATGTCTTAAGGCTTTTTGACCTCAGTGAAGACCCTTTAAAATGTTTAGGAAAAAAGGTAAAAAGACTTTTACTGATGTGTGAATCTTATTTTACATTAATTCTAGTTTGCAGCTTTTATTAAGGCTTATTGTATCTGGTAAAGACTAATTTATTCGTGATCACGCATATCTACTGTGCATTGATATTTGAGTATTTGGTAAATTGATTTATCTCATTGAAGAATATTTCACTAATTGTCGGCTGATAGAATAAATTCATTGTAATTTTTTTTATATGAAAACTAATTTTACGTTTACATGATGACATCTGACGCGAAGACGTTTTTCTTTTTGGTCAAACGACAGTAAACTAATTTTATTTAAGACTTTTTTTTTCTGATTTTTACAAGTATATTAAATGAGCCGCGTCACGACAAAACCAGTCTGCGCGCAGTCTGATCAGGATCCATGCTGTTCGCTTACAGACTCTATAACAAGTAAAGAAACTGAAAACGAACAGCATGGATCCTGATCAGACTGCGCGGATGCGCAGGCTGGTCTGGATCCATGCTGGTCGCAAACGCATTATGTTGGTTTTGTCGTGACACGGCTCAAATGTAAATCTAGCTAAAATGTAGCCAAGTGCAAACAAATAATTAGACAATACCATTTATTTGATTAAACTGCTAACTGAACTGCTCACCGCTGTTGGGTTCGTATCACTAAAGAACGTTTTTTCATGGTAGGAAGCTAATCCATCTAGCTCGAGGAACGTGGTTCTACCCCATGCATCACTTGATACAATGATATATTTGCTTACATTAAGAAACGCATGGCTATATGATCTAAGTCCCCATTACGAATTAATCCTATATCATATTTACATTTTCATTTTTAGTTTGAATAAAATGTATACTTGATTAAACAGTTGTACAAAACTAAATCAGTTCTAACACTTTATGCGCCTGATATGTTCAATTTTGCTCAAAGTTGTTTAAATAAGAAAGAGTGATATAAATCTTGTCTATATTATATGACGAAACTTGCAGATTAAACGTGATTTTCATAGACCTATTTCACTTTTTACAAGCCTTGTCAATTTCAAAATGTTTGTTTTCAACTTAACACGACAGTTAGTTAAATATTTAACTTTTTTATACGTCAGTCATATCAGTGAACGAGTTGTGTTTTATTTATAGCAATGTTTCCAATTGTCTGTAAAACAATTCAGTTTGTCCTAATTTAAAAAAAATGAAGACTAGAAAACCGCTCTACGCTACTTTCATAGGCCAATCTCTGTAATTTGATTGATATTTATTGATTGTGTGTTTGCAATTTTACTTGAACTAACTGATACATGTTTTCCTTGACATTTAAACTTTGCTTTCTTAACTAGATGAGCATTAATTTCGGTCTTCTACTGTGTGGTCTTTTAAAATGAATGTTTTTACGTTTTAGTTATGTACAATAGAGAAAATAAAATTCCCTATAGAAAGCCCAACACTGCAAAATTGAAAATGTTGCAGGCTTGGTTTGATTGAGTCTGTTCGTGGACGGTACTGTCAAGTGCAAACTACCGTCCACGCCCCCTAGCACCAGCTTAAGCAGAATTCAACATTTAAACACGAAAATGGTGAAATTTTGAATTTAGAAACTTCCGCAGATGTGTTCATACGGCGGTTATCATGGAACCTTCAATGTGACACAGTAGTGCCATTCCTTCAAAAGCGGCATATGGTCCCCAAGTAAAAGAATGCATGAGCCCTAAACGAGAAAACAATGAGCGGAATTAAATAACAATTTCATTCTATACATTATTGGAGACAATACTGACATTACCTGGAAGAGTATACAGCCATCAAAACTACACCTACAGGCGCAAGCTGAGTCTGATGAAGGTTGTGAAATGCTGTGTACGATTCCAAAAGAATCAGTATTTTTCTCAACAATGTATAGTGTACTCTTTATTTCACATCACCATTTTTCACAATTTGACATAACTTCAAGTACAATATGGATTTGATATGGACTTTTGAATTTTCAAAATTGAAAGGCTGGATAGAGTATGATATGCATTCGATATTGACGTTTTGGACAAATGAAAACAAAGCTAATTTTGATAAGATTGGACCCAATAATGTTTTCTGTTCGAAAATTGTGTGATGTAAACGCTGAAAGTTCTTTGGTTATACATGCGTTTAATAAGATGTAAATGATATAACTTACTAAAGCGATGCTATTCAAGTCAATGTCGTCCGATTTCACCCCATGGTTACAACAATCAACCAAAATGGTATCAATATTTAATATAATAGAAGTTAAAGAATGATAACACAAACACACTAATTAGTTTTGAGCAAGATAAATAAGGAGGAACTATTTGTGACAAAGTACACAACTGGTATAAACTAGCTAAATTATAATGGTTGTAGTAAAGACCACCTAGCACACCTCACTAGTTCTGTCTTTACATTATATTATCTGTATTTACACTATTATTTCTATCTTTACATTATTTTATCAATGTTCAAACATTTTGCACACAGTAAACTCGAACAATGATAAATATCTTATCTCAGTGTTTATTTTGATTATAACTATAATGTGAAAACATTAATACTTTAGGCAAACTATCCGAAACAAATATCTTAACCGTCAATTGAACGATAGGTCAGGTACCTTTCTTTATTTACAAATCAAAGTTGAAGAAACACTTTTCTCTTTGTACAATTAAACATCATATTGCAACAAGTCTCACACAGAACTTTATACAAATGATCATAACATTTGGACGTGCATTCTTTATCCTTATTAAATTAGTTTTGGCTTGGCTTTAAGAATGATATTTCAATATAGTAAAGCTGTTAAAAGGGTACTTGTTTTAAAAATATTCAAATAGTTATAGTATATCCATAACCTGACCTATGTTTGTTTTCACTGACAGTGATGTACAAATGCAACAAACATATATACTAAAAATTAATTAATAGTTCACACGCGATCAATTATTTGTGTTTATTTGCATGTTGTATATTTTAATCAACCGTTTTTTCTCATCAAGCGAGTCAATGTTTGAAGCAAAGCAGAGCATATTCAGCCAAAATAATGTATTGAACCGAAAGCAACAAATCATCAAATTATTCACTGTCATCCCGGAAAACTAAAACTAACTTACAGTGAAATGTTTATATAATTATAAGATGACACGGCTTTACAAATAGAAGATTTTTCAAGTAGATGAACAAGACCTACTCAAAATATATTTTGTCCCGCTTATAGGAGAGTTTATTTATATTTTATATCATAAAGATTTAGTAAACCAGGGTAATATGTAAAGGATATCTTTCTTTATTACTTTAGGATTTGATATTTATTTAATGATATTAAGACACACATTTTGAGATGATATAAAATTTCATTTTTTTCTCTAAACTTTTGATACAGACATGTCGTAAATAGTACAATTAATTTGAATGCAGCATAAAAAACCTCTTGCATAATTATGTCATAAAGCCTTCATAAGACACAATTTATGTCTTATTTTAATGTATGTCAAAGACAAAATTAAAACACTTCCTGCACTATGTTTTGATATACAGTATATTGCATTACAATGTTCATTGAAGATTCCTTTTTGTATTTTACTTAGATTAATTTGTTTTTAAATGTATGATTCCATTTGTATGTATGTTTTCCTCGTGGAGTTTTAATGTTAATAATGTTCTGGTATATTCTCTCGTATACAGTTTATTCTATAACGTGAGTTCATTGAGAAATAAGAATTAGTAGATTATGTGATTCCAACAGACAGAAGCTAAATTGAATTGTAAACACTTGTTAAACATTCGTGTTTTATTAGAAATAAAAAGAGAACAAATGAATTGAATAATATACAATTGAAGTTGTTTAAATGATCATACATTCAAATCCGTTGATTAAGAAATTCAATGTGATTTATGATAATCGATTCAAGTAAATTTTAAATGATTGTAAACCTGTTAAATATCAAATTATAGAATTTTCTTTAATCATATGAGTT